AGGGCTGCAAGTAGACTGGAATGGTGGTGTGCAAAAGAGCTGAGAATTCAAGAAACTTTGAGGCTTTTCCCTCCAAGATTCTAGTGTGGCAGCTATGTAGCATACACCTACAGGGTGCAGTGCTTTGGCAGGAAACACTGACTTCTTTATACATGTAAAAAGAAAACTAAGACACAACTCAAGTGAAGCATTTTCACGACGGGATTGCAAGCAAACTGCCCTGTATTATTTGGCTGGAAGACAATATAGTCTAGACGGACACATATTAGATGAAATGTGTCCTATTGTTCCTGTTTGCCAGCCTCAACATCTTCATAAAACTGATCCTAGTGATATCAACACAACTTTCCTCTGTGATTTTACTTCTCTTCTGCCGAAGCATAAATCACAGGCCCAAAGATTGCATGATTACTCTGAAAGTCTGAAATGAGACAACATACATGAGTGTGAGCCTGTCAAAGTGTCTCTGGACATCAACAATTCAAATGTAGAAGGGAGTCATCACATCTCTGCAGTGATATGCACTGTACAGTGCATGAAAACATCTGGCAGTTCTCTAAGAAGCTACCCAAGAAAAGCTTCACCGAGCAATTCCATGCAAAACCATCCTACATTATTTTACCACAAGAAAATATTGTAAAGACTTTACAACATGGGTTTGGTTACCACACTTATCGAAAGATGTCTAAACAGTTATTGGCCTGTTCATCCCAAAGATAAAGTTGGAAAATAACTAAACTTGCTTATTATGCTTCGACTACTGCAAAGAAACATCCCCTTCCAGATTCCTCATGAGGCAGATTTCAACTGAAAAGAAAAGTAGCTGAAAAACATTTTCTACCGAACAATTTACAGAATTAAATCAATTAAGTAACCTACGACAGACTGTATGTGCATTTATGCTTGGAACTGATTGGATTCAAGTTTGATGCTTTATACGTGCATTTCCATGGACACACACCCTGGAGTGTTCTCTGAACTACAGCAAATTCTTTTGCCATAGAAGAATTCTGGTTTATTCTATTCTGTTTTCCATCAAGGCATAACTCGCTTGTTTTAAAACTTAAGAATTGTTCTAGCAGACTTTTGAAAAAGTATTAATGCTTGAGGAAAGTTCTAGCAAATGAGGTGAATGAAAGCAACTCTTCAAAACTTCGTTTCCATATGGTCGTAAAGAATGCCGACAGCATGCAATACAAAACAGACATTTGGGCAAGACACAATGCATGACGTCATTCCATCAGAAGAATTGAACAGAATGGCGTCCGAAACTCAGAAATCTTCGGCGTAAATTGCCTCTTTTGTCATCCCTGTTTGCATCAGTCAGGACAGCGTTTCCATCAATAATGCGCTCTGCACCTCTTGACGTTGATACAGAAACCAGGCTTTACATGTGCATTTAAACAAGAAGGAAAAATTAACTAAAAACTGTAATTCTACTTCACACACTGATGATGCTATATAAATTCACAAAATTACAGGGAAGCCACAGCTACCTAGAGTTCAGCCTGGAGTCCTAGCTGTTCAGATGTCTCTACCAATGGCTATATGGGGGAGGAATATACATATAGAATAGCAGCTCAGTCTTGAGACTCTTTACAGTCTGGGTGTTCAGGGTTCGAATCCACCATTTGTACCAGTACCATATTCACATGACCAAAGCAAGAAAGACTTTATTGGATGATGGTGTACAGTAGTTGGACCAAGTTCCTTTCACACTAGACAGTGTTTCTGTTATTGATGGCCAATCTTGCTGCACTTTGTCTCTGTAGAGGAGATCACCTTTAGTTCCAGCAGCTCCCCTTGTGATGGTGGTTGGGAGCGATTTGGTCTTGCCATTGTCTTTTGATGAGGATCCCCTTGTGACAGAAGCTCTGTAGCCTGTACTTGTACCTCATCTCTAAATGTGGGTTCTGGAAGCTCGCCACCCTGTACTCGCACCTGACAATTTGGTACTGATTCTGGAAGGAACTCTACAACCTGTACTCGCCTTTGATCTTTTAGTGCTGGTTCTTGGTGGGCACCTTGCTGGCCACAGCAGGAGCAGGTCACTGCCTGGATCACAGCTGATCGAAACTCGGCATTTGTCGCACTGTAAATGATGGGATCTATGCAGTTATTGATCAATTCCAAGATTCTTCCACACATACCAACATCAATGAAATCATGGATGAGTTGAGGATATGAAGTATTGCACTTCTGTGATGAAACAGCTATTCCTGTCAGAATTATGTTGGTGAATATGACTGAATTCAAGAGGAAAAACACAGCAGTGTTGATGATGAGCATAGAAGGTAACCTTGCCAAGATGCTGTGGACGGTGCTGTGTGGTGTGTGATCTCTGCTTTAACTTGAGCACAAGGCAGACATACATAGTGCCAGTCACTGTAATAGTAACTATGCTTACCGATCCCATTATCACCACAAAAATGGTTAGCGGGACAACCCCACCTTGACCAAAATGTCCCAGAAGTGAAAGTACCTCAACTATTCCAACACCGACTGCTAGCATCCAAAGTCCTGCTGATACCTTGGCTGCTCTTGTTTTGCTGGCTGATGCTCTATATGTTATTGGATGATGAACAGCTGAGAATCTCTCCACTGCTATGGCCACCACAAGCAAATAGGACACAATTCTAAGTGTATCAAACACACCTGCTATAATGAAGCTGGAGTGAGACCCACTGTAAACCTTGTTTCCCAAAAATATTCCAAAGGTCATCAGAAGATTAAGAGTATCAACCACTGCCAGATTGACTAGGTAGACATTGATGATAGTCCGCATGGACTTCACTCGAACAACAACAAACAGGAAGATCAAATTCAAAAGAAGGCCGACTGGTGCAAGGATCTGCACACTCAGATGGATTATGTGATATTCTTGCAGTGAATGAGCTCTCTTATCTTCCACAAACTGATCCCAGTCATATCCACAAAAATTTTTAAAACTGCGATTGTAAGTCATTTTAACAATGACTGTCTTGCTCAGCTATTTCACAACAGTCTACAGTCAGGATGGTGCGGCAGAAACATGTCCACCCTATTCAGCAGTCCACACTAGTAAAAAAAAAAAATGAACTTGGAAACTACTGTGTGATTCAACTGTTTACGTGAGTTGCAGAGCAAGAGACAATATTTTACACATCTGACACTTGTGTAACAATGGAGCACTTCTGACAAAACCGAAACACCAGAAACCCACAGCAAAGGCACAAGATGCATTAAATCTTTCAGTTTCAGGAATGACTTATTCTTGCATCTTAATTTCCTTGCAGCACACATGAAACGACTGTCTTTGAAAGTCACTGTTCCTCCCATTAGAGCCACTGGTATACGGTATTTTATGAACATTATTACTGGTCACTGTCAATTAGGTTTCTAAAGCCATAACTGTAAATGTTAAAGGCCCATGAAAAGTGGTTTTTATAAGTTATAATTGAAAATTTTTAGTTTTTAAACGATATCCGAATGCCAAAGTTGCTGTTTCGATTAATAAATGCGAGAAAACTTTTTTCAAAGTTTAGGCGAAATGACCCCACCCCCGGATAGGTATCTCCTTAACATAGAAAATTGGCATATCTTTGATGTACATTTGAAAAGATGCCATTAGTGCGTGTCTTGGATAAAGATCAGAAAATTCAGTCCGATTTGCGTATCTTTTAGAGACCATGCTGACCAGATGTGTTGCAACAGGCTACGGCAACACCTATAAAGATGAGACAAGCCTACATAACTTTCAAATTAAAGTGAAATTTAGGTGAATTTGAAGATGGGAAGTCAGGCATACAAGGGCCAAATGGTCAGCACCAACAGTGAGCTCCCAACTGTGCAGAACTCATTTGGAGCCACAGCGTTTTTTTCTGAACATGTATGGCTCATTTGGGGTTAGATTTAAAAGATTGATGAAGCCAGCGCCATGCCCACGATCTTGGGAAATCAAAGAAAGCCCATGAGTAAGGACAAAGAGGAGCTTTCATGAAACACGAACGACAAAGGATAAGAAATGCTTCCAAATCGGCCCAGGCTATTCCACACAATATACTCGTGTGTATGTGTTGTGGTACCCCATTTATGCATGCCGCGACACCAACACTTTATGTGGTAACCGTACCACAAGTGCACGTGCTTCTTCTGTACGAGTGGGCATTATTTTCATTGATGATGTACATGTACATGTATGTCCATTTTACTAGTGCTCAGTCAGATTATCTGTGTCTTAGTGGTGGTGTTCCTCGGGAACAAAACTTGGCCCGAATATCGACGAGAATATAATGTTAAATCAGATGCAAACACTAGGAAATTCTCAATGTCATCATACGTACCGGTGTGTCATCTGATGTACATCGTAAGGGATTGGAGTAGTGTGTCATTTTCGACCTTGGAACGCTTCATCCAGGGGAATGAACCTGGATTTTTCCGCGTTCATTCAGAACTAAATCTGCTTGCCCTGAAGAAGGTACTCGGTTACCGAAAGCTCGACAATCACATATTTCAGAGCACTGATTTGATATTATATTCTCGTCGATATTCTGATCGCGGTGATACGCAGCCCTTCCATAAAACTTGGCCCAATCTGTTTTCAAATCTTGATTGATTCAGCTCATAATTTTCACTCAAAAAATGGAAGTATGTAGATGACATCACCTTTGTTGAAAATCGTTCATCTTCTTGCTGAAGTCTGATCCAATGTGACCTAAATAATCTCAAAGCTTGGGCTGATAATAACAGCCTCAAGCTTAATCTTTCAAAATGTCAAGCTTTGCAGGTGTATTTTAAGAAAACGCCTCTACCGAAAGACATTTTGAGAATTGATTCTGATTCACTCCATTATGTTAACACTACGAAAATGTTGGGTGTCTGGTTTCAAAATGATTTCAAATGGAGCAACCACATAAACAACATACTTGCCAAAGCTAACAGGCAACTGTTCATGTTGAGAACTTTGAAAAGGTTCAATTTTAATGTCAATGAACTGAGAGCAGTCTATATGGGTTACTTTCTCTCAGTGTTGGAGTACTGTGACATTGTCTGGCATTCTAGTCCATTCTAGACTTACTTGTAAACATGTAAAAGACTTGGAAATGGTTCAGAAAAGGGCTTGCATGATAATATTGGGTAAAAATATACCACTTATAACAATGCTCTCAAGGTCTAGTTGATTTGTTGGAAGATAGAGGGGCTGGCCATTGTATCAAATTTGCTGCTGAGCTTTTTCAGGACAGGAGAACAATGGATCAGTTTCTTCCTAAATGCTCAGAATGCCATGGAAATTCATTACGTAATGCAAACAAAATTTCTTCTTTTCCCGTTACTACACTGCGCTTCAAGAGAAGTCTAGTTCCATATTTTGTCAATCTTTTAAATGACCAATGATTCACATACCCAGACGTGAATCATGTACTACACATTTTTCCAATAAAGGAGTCTCTCCTTTAATCGCGTTCAACTGACTTGAATCTCAGAAGCCATCCCAAGACATTAGCGATAAGTCTCAGCGGGGTCAGCTAGACGGAAGACAGAAGCTGTGTGTAATCTATCAGTGGCTCATGACGAACGCCTTCACTAAAGCTACATGTATAAAAGACTTTGGTGCATTTTTCTGCTTGTTCATCCCAAAGAAAACTTACAACCATGACCTTCTTATTTCTGACAATTTGCAAGGATTACTTCAGCCAAACAGGTTTACTGCAGCATTTATACACACCAACCTATCAAAGGCTTGTTCTTCTACATGTACAATTATGATTGGAATTCACAAAACTGTGCAGCTAATTCTAGTTCCTAATGCTTTGTGTGCATACAAACAGTACAGGGCATTCTGCAAAAACAATACACATATATTACCTGGTATGTAGCAAGACAAAACTTGTTAATTCCATTCTATTTCCAGCCAAAACACAAATTACAGGCCCTAAAGTTGTAGGATTTCCCTTTAAGCCTTAAATATGACAATATGCTTGAATATGATTGTGTCAGATTTTCTCTGAACATCAACAATTCAAATGTAGAAGGGTATTAAACAATCTTCTGCCAACGTTATGCACTGTGCAGTTCAGAAAAAACAACTGCACTGGCTATTATTTTGTGTGAAAGCTATCCAAGAATAGTTTCACCATGCAGTTCCATACAAATTGCATCACATTATTTGACCACAGGAAAATTCTCTCAAAACTACAATGTGGATTTGATTAACTTAACTACATGCATGTACCTATAGATTTCTGAACATTTATCTGCCTGTTTATCCCAAAGACAATTTTCACATTGAAAAATTACTGGTACGAAACTCGCTTCAACTACTGCAAAGAAACATTTGCCTCAAGATTCCACATGAAGCAGGATGCCAACTTAAACTAGCCGACAAATTTTTCTACTGACCGAACTTACATGTAGTTTCAATGTTAAATTAAACACGTCAACCTACCAGTACCAAAAATTGTGCATTATGCTTGGAATCTACAAGATTTAATTTTGATGCTTGTACACACATTTCCAAAACACTAAAGGAGTTTTTTCCAAGATCTCAGCAAATTCTTTTGCGATAGAAGAACTCTGGTTAATACCATTTTGTTTTCTACCAAAACGTGACTCATCACTGGCTTAAAAACTGAAGTACACGTATTGTTCCAGCAGAGTTTCAGTAAGATTTAAATGCTTGAGAACGATTCTGGCAAATTTCTAGTTTTGGTTGAAATGACGTTCATGAAAGCACCTTCTGACTGTTATAACCCAATGACTCCGGCAATTCTCTTACATGTGCATTAGAAGAAGATAAAGATATAACTCGAAAACTGTACTTCTGCCTCACACACTATAATAAAGCAAGTTTACAAAGGGAAGTCATAACAACCTTAAGTTAGTCAAAGCATCAGTAGTTCGTAGTTCAGTCTAGAGTTCCTCTGTTCAGATGTCTCCACCAATGGCAAAGGGAGGTATGTACCCGTAGCACAGCGGCAAAGTCTGAGACTAATCTGGGTGTCCAAGGTTCCAATCCACCAACATGTTGTGTGCACCATGTCCTCATGCCAGGCATTCTAATCTTCACTTCCCCACATCCATGTGACCAAAGCAAGCAAGTCTTGATTGGATGATGGCGCATTTGGACCAAGTTCCTTTCACACTGGCAGTATTTCTGTTACTGATGGCCAATCTTGCTGCACTTTGTCTCTATTCAGGAGATCACCTTTAGTTCCAGAAGCTCCCCCTCAGATGGTGGTTGAGAGGGATTTGTTTTTGCCATTGCCTTGCAATGAGGAGCTCCTTGTGACAGAAGCTCTGCAGCCTGTACTCGCATCTGATCTTTTGGTGCTGGTTCTTGGTGGGCACCTCGCTGGTCACAGCAAGGGCAGGTCACTGCCTGGATCACAGCTGATCGAAACTCGGCACTTGTCGCACTGTAAATGATGGGATCTATGCAGTTGTTGATAAATTCCAAGATTCTTCCATACTTGCCAACATCAACTAAATCATGCTGGAGTTGAGGATATGAAGCCATGCACACATGTGACAAATGAATAATTACCCTCAGAATTACGGCGGCGATTATCAGTGAATTCGAGAAGAAAAAAACTGTGGTGTTGATGATGAGCATAGACGTAACCTTACCAATTCTCCAGTGCTGCGTAGAAGGTGATCTCTGCCTTAGCTTCAACACAAGGCAGACATACATAGTGCTGGTCACTGTAATAACAACTATGCTTACCGATCCCATTATCACCACAAAAATGGTTAGCGGGACAACCCCACCTTGACCAAAATGTCCCAGAAGTGAAAGTACCTCAACTATTCCAACACCGACTGCTAGCACCCAAATTCCTGCTGATACCTTGGCTGCTCTTGTTTTGCTGGCTGATGCTCTATATGTTATTGGATGATGAACAGCTGAGAATCTCTCCACTGCTATAGCCACCACAAGCAAATAGGACACAATTCTAAGTGCATCAAAAATGCCACTTACAATGAAGCTGGTGTGAGACCCATCGTAAATCTTATTTCCCAAAAAAAGTCCAAATGTCACAAGAAGATTAAGAGTATCAACCACTGCCAGATTGACTAGGTAGACATTGATGATAGTCCGCATGGACTTCACTCGAACAACAACAAACAGGAAGATCAAATTCAAAAGAAGGCCCACTGGTGCAAGGATTTGCACACTCAGACGGAGTGTGTAATATCGTTTCAGTCCATGAGCTACATAATCTTCCACAAACTGATCCTGGTCATATCCACACAAATCTTTGAAACTGTGATTGTAAGTCATTTTGACAAAGACAGTATTGCTCAACTACTAGAACTGTCTACATGCAGGATAGCAGAAACATGTCTGCACCTCTTAGCAGTCCATGTTAATAAGACAAAAACCAAATTTGATTACTAATGTGAGACTGTGATTGTAACTGCTTCCACGAGTTCCGTGAAAGTGACAATTTTTCATGTGACTATCATTTGCTAACGTGGAGTGATTTTGACAATGCCTGAAACATGAGAAACCCACTGCAAAGGAAAGACGCCTTTCAGTTTCAGGAATGGCTAATTCTCGCATCTTAATGTCCTTGCAGCAAACCCAAACTGCTGTCCTTGGCAGTCATGGTTTTTCTCATCAGCACTAAAGAGACTTTATGAGCATTTTAATTAGGTTTCTGAAACCCAAGTGTAAAATGTAGAACACTGGTATCTGCCACTTTGCAGCCATCAGGTATCCAGAGGCTCGTGTTGCACACCAGCTAGACAATGTTGTATTTGAAACCAATTACTCGTAAGACTTTCACAAGACCAACTCAAGACCTCCTGTCTGAATTCAAGTCACAAGCTATTCAAGGGAACTGCAACAAAAGCATTCCTTTGTCATTGTTCATCCAGTTGCTTGTGACTAGTCTTGTATCTAGTCTTCTGTCTGGTCTTGTGGTGGTCTCAACTACAACACTGCTGCTAGATACACCACAGAATATACCCAGCTAGAAATGAGACTGAGGGGTACCCCCCAACATATCCAATTCCTAT